CTAAACCAATTTGTGTTAACTGCAGCACTTGGAATGCGCTGAATTTAATTTCAGAAATAGGAACTAAGCACATACGAATGGGGGAGAAAGCCTTGCATCCAGTTTGCTATGGTGGGGGCTAAAGCAAAGCTTGCTTCTCGTTGGGAATCCCAGAGTGTCACTGAGGAGAGACATCAAGCGAAACGTGGAGCATTTCTCAGGCTGAGGTTAAGTGGGTGTTCTTTATTTTAAAAACTATGTTTTTATCTACTTGAAAGAGCAATAGAGAGGGAGGGAGGGTGAGAGGAAGGGAGGAGAAGGAAGGGAGGAGAAGGGAGGAGGAGGGAGGGAGGGGAAGGAGGGAGGGAGAGAGGGAAAGAGAGAGAGAGAGAAATGAGAATTTTCTAGCAGCTGGTTCACTCCCTAGATGTCACTGCTGGCAACAGCCAGGGCAGGTCCAGGCCAAAGTCAAGTGCCAGGGACTAAATATGAAGTCTCCATGTGGGGGTGGCAGGAGCCTAAGCACTTGTGTTCTCATCTACTTTCTTCCTAGTACACTAGGACGAAAGTGGATCAGAAGTGTGGAGCCCCCAGGACTTGAACCAGGCACTCCAACGTGGGATTTGGGTGTCCCAAGCAGAGGCTTCATTTGCATGATTAACAGCACGGTTGCAGTTTTGCTGCTGGCCACGCAGGCTCATGCAGCTGCGACTCAGTGCACCCAGGACTGAGTGAGGGAAGCGGCCTGCAGCCCCGGAGAAGGACAGACGATGGCATTGGTGCCTTCCTGATTGTTTCTTTTTCTTTTATGAACTTTGCAGTTTTGGTCCCTGTGTTTTTCTCTCAAACTCTACTATCATCACTTCCCTCTCCTGTGGGGCTGGATAACTACAGGGGGAAAAGCAATTCCACAGAATGTTTGTTTGACTCAAGCTTTGTAAAGCCTGCTCTGAGCTTTATTATGCTGCACTGGGGTGCCTGGGGCCTGGGGCAGCCTCATGGGGCGGTGTGGGCGGGCGGCAGTGAGATGCACATTGAGGTTCACGAGGTTCTTTGCTCTTCCTGTCCACTCTCTCCCATCTTAGGAGACTGCACCCTCCAGCTGTGCCCGGCAGCAGTGGCAGGGTCCCATGGCCTTGGCTGCAGCTCTCCAAGAGCCTTGCATGCCTTACTAGACCAAGGTTTGAGGTCCCAGACCAAGAAAGAACCCTGAGACCAGCAGTCTTTTGGTGGATCCTTGAATCATGAACCTAGGCCTGTACTGGCTTGAAACCTAACTTCCAGGAAGTATGAGGGGGTCTAGAGAAACCCCTCATTTTCTACCCATTGCTTTGGCATTTGTGGTGGTGCTTACCTGCAGTTTAATCTCTTGCAGATGAGATCCTAAAAGGCAAGGGCTACTATACCCACCACACGAACGTTCAGAAATCCCACCGGATCCCAACCCTGAAACCAGATGATCCACGACTAACGTTTTTGTGGTTTGGCTGAAAACCCTGAGTGCTCTGGTTTCCCCTCCTGGGCAGAAAGCATCAGCCACAGAGCAAATGGTAATTAGCCCATGATGAATGTGATGTAGTGGGGTAAATTGGGTGGCCCATACATTATTTTCATTTAGGAAAAATCTAATTTTTTTGATTGACTTGGTGTGTGTTCCATATACTTTTCTCTGTACTAGGAGGCCTATCAAAATGAAACCATGCTGCTAAAATGACTTTCCCCAAGCCATGAGGGCTTATACAGGCCCCAACTCAAAGGAGGAGGATGGGCAGGGCCGTGAAGGCTAAATGGCTCCTACAGAGCATGTTTACCTGTTACAATGAGCAGAATGTCAGAGGCCCAGGTCATTTCACTGTTGATGAGGATGCAACAGATCCAGCATCACTATCGGCTGTCCCTCCACCCGGCACCTGGCCTCGCAGTAAACCTGGGCTTGAGCAGAAGGTGCGCTCTATGTTCCATCTGCTCGGGATTTTCAATTTCACCTGCTTCACGCACATAGCTGGAAGTGTCCAGCTGGACCGTCTCAGGTCTGGTTGGTGAGGGCGGCGACATAGCCATCACTCAGCTCTTCAAGGAGGTAGTGCTTCCTATCTAACTCATCAAAGTAATAAGAGCTCTTGTCTATGGAGCGCTTGCTGCACACCCGGGCTCCATGTGATGTGCTTTCAATACATCAGGTCTAGACTCTTCATTGCATCCCTTCCCTGTTGCTACTATTCTTTCCCCCGTTGCAGGTGGGACAATTAGACAGAGAGGACAAGTGATTTGCTTAGGGCCTCCCAGCTAGCAGGTGGCAGAACAGGTCCATCCCGACACCAGAGCCAGCACTGGCACTTGCATTCATACCATGCAGTATCTCAAGTATTGCTGCTTCATGTATGAGGTCTTTGAGGACTGGTGGCAGGGAGGAAGCAGGGTTAGGTGTCCTTCCAAATGCCCTCTTAGTTCTTTCAGGATTGGTTGTGTGGCATGTGCAAAACTCAAAAGGCAACAGCAGATGCAGCAAGCTGAAGGGAGTGGCGGGGAAGCTGGGTGATGAGAAACTTGGGGCTGAAACATTCATATCATAATAAAACACCAATATGTCCCACCTCCAATATTATGACTGACAGAGGCTCCTGAGAGAGAACCCAGTGCTATCCTTTGAAAACTCATGGGCAAGTTCACTGTTGTTTCCCTGATGTGCAAAGAGAGAGCGAAAACCAGGAGTAAGTTGTTTCAAAACATAAGTGGCTCCTGTAAGAAGGCAGACCAGTTTCCATGCCCTGGGGTTCACTCTGGCATTCAAAGTGGTAGGAAGCCTGGAGGAATGTCCTGGCATTCTGGGTTGTGCCATGATGACCAAGGAGGTGAAAGTTTTGGTGGTGAGAGAAAGAGGGTCCTTAAGAAGCCAATCACCATCACTCCCTGGCCCAACCAGCATACAGTGATGCTCCCACATTCACCTTCTTTGCCTCTTGCCCTTTTCCTGCCTTGGCCTTGCATCTCTGAACATCAAGCCCTCTACTCCTTGTTTCCTGTGGAGAATCAAAAATGGTGCACAAAGGCCGCTTCTTGGCATCCCAGAAGGCCAAGTGGCTTCCACAGCTGGAACCCAAAGTAGAATGTCACCTGGATGTTTCCCCAGACCTGGGCGGGAGTGAGCACAGGGTGAGCTCGCTGGGGAGATGCCGGCCAGGTTGGGGAGCGCATCTCCTCCCTGGATTGTTGTGAATTAGCTCCATTTCTGCACCCTGCTGTTGCAATGGAGCAGACTGTGAAAAGGAAGATTCTCAGAGGAGCTGTGTTTTAATGTAGCAATTTGATTCAATTTTCCACTCTATAAAATTACCCATCACTGCTCGTTGCTTTCTAACAGACACCTTCACTCTTAATTTAACAATCCTATCGAATTCTGCCAGGGAAATTGGAAAAATTTATCACCTGTGAAATTTTATTTTCCTTTGGTTGTATCTGTTTTTGTAAAACTTCATTAACGACGATGACTTGCTGAGGAAATTATCATTTTTTTTTTTTTAACTTCAGACACAAGAAATGGCTCGACCTCAACCAAGATATCATTTGCATAATAAAACACAACAAAAAGGCTGGGGACATGGGGACTGGCAGAGGCTGGAAGTGCGAGAAGATGCACCTCTCCCTAGTGGGCGAAGTTCCTGGCAGGCAAGGGATGTATGGCCACAGCCCTGTTCTGTGACTCATGGACCAATGACGTGGCTCCCCCTGCACACCACCCCCCCACCCAGGACATGGAAGGAACAATGCAGAACGCAGCACACAGAGAGCGGGTCTGAAGTGCGGGTTCTGTGCTAAGAATGCTTTTAGCAACCTTTAGCCCCTGTCTTTTGGGCAAAGCGTGTTAGATGCACCTTATTCTCCTTGTTCATCTGGGACTGAGGCTTATATGGCTGTAAATTTGGGCTTCATTTGAATTCTGTAGCGGAGCCCAGAAGTCCTGGCAAATTTCCACGGGTACGATTTTTCTGAATGGAGCAGATCCTGGGGTCTAACTTGCTAACAATGAACAGGCACAGGCTTCAGCCTTCCCCAGCCTGACCCCCACTGGGCTCCGTGCCGTTACCCGACGGGGAACCCCTGATAACTGCACACTTCTCCAGGTGCCAGCCACCATACTCTGGGAGACAAGGATATACAGAGAGCAGACCGTCGTGGTGGGCTTGGGGAAGGCGTCAGGCTCGTTTCCAGGAGATGTGGCTTGGTCTGCGGCATGTCTGGAGCAGGAAGCGATGAGTTGCGCTCTGTTGGGTTTTATGGTAATACTAGAAATGTTTGTCAGTGTTTGTGCATTTCAGATTTTGACATCCTTCATGATTTGGGAGTGACTTGGCATTTTTTTTTCACCATTTCATAGAAAAGGAAGGGAAAACTAGTGAGTTTTGATAACTCACAGTAAGCCAATGAAACCCAACACAAGAGTTTGGGACTCTTGGCCTGCTGATGCGTAGAATTAAATCATTCCACACAAACACATGAAAGACACACCCTGATCAAAGCTCTTGCTGGGACCGGTGCTGTTGGGTAGCATGCTAAGTTTCCGCCTGTGGCACAGCATCTAATATGAGTGCTTGTTCGTGTCCTGGCTGCTCCAGTTCCAATTCAGCTCCCTGCTAATGGCCTGGGAAAGCGGCAGATGATGGCTGAGGTCCTTGGGAACCTGCTCCCACATAGGAAACCTGGAAGAGGCTTCTGGCTTCAGATTGGTTCACCTCTGGTCACTGAGATCATTTGGGGACCAAACTAGCAGTTGGAAGATCTCTGCCTCTCCTTCTCTCTGTTAATTCTGTCTTTCAAATAAAAATAAGTAAGTCTTTTTTTTTAAAATCTATTTTTCTCAAGGAGAGGCACAGCCTCTGTTCGGGGAATGACCATTCCCTGCATTCTCTCCAGAGGATGACACTTAGATGTGGCTTCCTTTGGAGTTTTCAAAGTTCTACTCTCCTACCAGGTCAAGAGTTTCTGAAACTAGTAGAAGACAATGAAAAGAAGGCGTTTCTCACCTGGCAAGACTTCATAAATGTCTTCTTCTTTCTCCCTGGTAGGCTCGGGAAGTGCCACGCCTCCAGGCAGGAGAGAGGGTCTGCGCTGGGAATGAGCATTTGGAGACTCAAAATCATCAATATCATCATACATCTCTTCCTCTTCCACCTCTTCTTCCTCTTCTCCTCCTTTCTCCTCATCCTCCTCTTCCTCCTCTTCACAGGGAATGGTTAGGGAGCTCAGATCTGCCAGGGCAAAGATAAGAATGTATCAAGATAGTGAGAAAAAAGAAAAATAAGGCAGCCTAGGAAAGAGGGAGAAGGAGGTGGAGGGCTGAGAATAAAACATGTCAAAGGCAAAGGAAACACTAAGTTAAGTGCTGTTATTTCTAATGTGGGCCCTGGTGGCAGGAAATCTACAGAAAAGGCCAGACTCACACTGCATCAGGTTTAAACCATCAACATAAATCCTTCCTTGCAATAAAACTTGATTAGGACGGAGTGGCTCTGGAAAGTACGGGTGTGTGAACGGAACCAGGAGGCAAAGGGAAAAAACAGACCTGAGGAGGAAAAGCCAGCGAGCCGCGCACTGCGCATGGAGCAGAAAAAACTGGATGGGTGAGGGGTGGGCCTCGTCCTGCAGGGCCCCCAGAGCAGGGGAGACCCCAAAGGAGTCCTGTTGGGTAACTGAGCTTTTGGGAGCTGGTCTCCCTGTTGATTTCACTGCAGAATTTCAGACAAGTTTGGTGAGAGAGAAAGAGGAAAAAGAAGGGCGGGGTGGGGGGCAGGTGCGGCACAAAGTGGAAGAGGAAAGAAACGGGGTATGGAAAAATAAAACAGTAATACACAGCTGAATGGAGCAGCGGAGCGATGCAGTTACTATGTCCTTTTGTACTGGGTGGCCGGGCTGACCCTGAAGTGTGGGTCACCGAGGATGGGGAGCGGCAGGGCTGGTGTTTGATCCTGCTGGGCACCTGGGAGGGCGCAGTCTCTGCCACGTGGTGCTGTGCGCTCCCGCTAACTCTGCAGAGGGGCTTCTGCAAGACAGCTGGGTGTAGCCGACAAGCTCTGGGGGAGGAGGGTAGGCAGAGCCAGCCGGTGCTCATTTCAAAACCCAGTAAAGCTGTTTGGCTTGATTAGACTTTTAATAAAGATTTCTGCAATGATTTTCATCTGAATTCCGGTGCCACCTCATATGAGGAAAGGATCAAAGACACATTTGTGGCTGACACCATATGTTATTATTTTGTTTGTTTTAAAATAAAATGGGATGAATAATTTCTTCAATGTGGGATTCTGAAAGTACCACAGGGTACAGCTCAATAAAGCTGCTTTGAGTTTTATGGAGGTTTACCCACTTAGGGGTATATTACACGCATAAATCCACGGCACCTAGATGAGAGTGTACCCTGTAGTCGCACCATCAACGCTCATGTTTGCCTAGTTCCTACTCTATAATACGTGATGCTGTTGGTCGATGTGATTTGTTTTTTACGTGAGCAAAGGCACAGCTGAGTAAGATAGGCAAGTCTTACAATTAAAGCTCTGTTTTTTTTTTTTTCTTTTGTTCCATCATACAAGCCTCTAGCAGATTACAGAACTGAGATGGAAAAGCTTGGGTCATTACGAGGGTGTGCTTCTTGCTAGATCTTGAGCCACGTGTGATGTTGGTGCGTTTGTGTTTTTGAGACAGGGGCCTGCCATGAAGGCTGTGTGATGCTAAGTGGCTCCTCACTCCAGGTTGGCTCCTTCCCTCTCCCAGTCCGCCCTGGGCCTGTGTTGCTGCTGCACCTGCAGGCTGGCCAGCAGAGGGTACTCTAAGAGCAGACTTCTAGCAGCTTCCGGCAGGACGCATCCCATCCCAAAGCAAGGAGACACAGGGTGGTTTGGGAAGCAGCGACTCATCCTCACTGTTCAATGTGCCTGAAGACTGTGCAGGTTGGTTTAAAGTTGTACCTCCCGCTAAGACTAACATGAGAAGATGTTGGAGCTCCATTGTATTGGATAGCTTTGAGTGAGAGATCACAGATTTTTTCTTTTCAGAACATAACAGCTCAGGAGACACTGAACTGAGCTGGTTTTCATCATCATCTTTTCTTGTGACTGTGATCTATGGGTAAGTGGAGGAACAGGGACATCGGAAGCCATTGTCAAGCTGAAGATTGCTTGCCTACCGATGCAAATGATATCTGTTGTCACGAGGTGGGGTGTGGAGCAGGAAGAGGTCAGAAAGAGAAGAGCGAATACCCCCGAATCCCTCGAGACGGTGTTTTTATGTAGCATGACTTCTGTGGCCATTCCACTCAGACAGCACGTGTTCCTGTAACAATGACACTTACCCTTTAACAGGAAACTTATTTGATCCACCCAGTCTCTGGCTTCTGCTGGACTAGTAGCTGTAAACTAAAGAGAAAAAGAGAGAATTATTCCCTTTACTGGCATGTCTCTGCATCGTGACAGGAAGGGTCAAGGAAATAAACCTGTCCATTGCAGAGTCAAGTCAAAAGTTCACGATTCTTCGCCCGATTAATATTTTAAAAAAAGAATCAATGATCTCACTCAAACATTTTGCTTTTTCTTTCAGCAATCTTGCATGCCCAGACATGGCAGCTGTTTTGAGCCCAGTCATGTCCGTGTACATTCAGTCGTTTGATGAGCTAGTCCTTCATCAGGCATATATCTAAGAAAAGTTCAGGAGAAAACAAAGGCAGGCATAGGAGGGTCACAAAGAGACGCACCTGAGAGCAAGTGTGTGTCGCCAGGGGACAGCGAGCACTCCCTTGGCCTTTGGCAGGTCAGGGCGACTTGCTGAAGTAACGCTGATTGGTTGGAATTAAAAAGTTGGTGGATGTTGACTGATAGGGGAGTTGGACATTTAGATGGGGAAAACCGCAAGCAGAAGAACTGGGCCCAGAGCCTCTCGTATAAGGCAGGCAGGTAGGCAGAGGGACCTGGCAGAACAGTCCCAGATGCAGCTGGAGGGGACAGTCATTGAAAAGTGGAGGAGTGGGTTCTGTGTGCTGGGAGTTCAAAGTTAACATGTAGGCAACAGGAAGCCAGCACTGATGCTCGCGAAGGGAGTGGGCGGTACTCAGCTGTTGGTAGGAGGGACTGGGGGAGAGAGATGTGCAGACAGACCAACCAGCAGGTTCTTCACCAGTCCTCTGTGTGAGGGAACAGGGACTTAACTGCGGCGTTGGCTGTGGGAATCAATAAGAAGGTAAAAGACCCAGCATATATTGGCTAGGAGGAATTCACAGACCCATGGTAATGATTTGGATTCAATGGGCCAGCGCAAAGAAGTAAGAAAACTGCATTCCAATTCATGCAACAGGCCAGCCAAGCATCAAGGCTTAGACATTTTTTATTTTGAATGAATCAACTTGAAAGAACTGTTCCTGAAAAACATTTTAATATCTGGCCACTAGCTTAGGACAAAGACACATGCTATCCAAGAAACCTAGAGTTTTGCATAATACCTATTTAATAGACCTTGCCATTTTTGGTTTCTTAATATCACATGGTTTTCAAATGAAAAAATTCTAGGGATACTGGTTTAGATCCGTCATATAAGCTTTTTTTTCTGGATACAGTACCACCAGAATTTAATAACAAAAACAACTTAAGAAACATACTCATTACAAACATTTGTACTGTATACATTTAAAAAGATAGCTTAAGAAACTTTCAGTTTAAATTAAAAATAATTGGGCCCGGCGGCGTGGCCTAGCAGCTAAAAGTCCTTGCCTTGAACATGCCGGGATCCCATATGGGCGCCGGTTCTAATCCCGGCAGCTCCACTTCCCATCCAGCTCCCTGCTTGTGGCCTGGGAAAGCATTCGAGGACGGCCCAAAGCCTTGGGACCCTGCACCCGTGTGGGAGACCCGGAAAGAAGTTCCTGGTTCCTGGCTTCAGATCGGCATAGCATTGGCCGTTGTGCTCACTTGGGGAGTGAATCATTGGATGGAAGATCTTCCTCTCTGTCTCTCCTCCTCTCTGTATATCTGACTTTCCAATAAATAAATAAATCTTTAAAAAAATTAAAAATAATTTGAAAAATGAATCTCCACTTTAACAAAATAATTTTATCAAAATGAAGCTTAAAAAATACAAAAAGATGAATGGTAAGAAAAATATTAAAAGTTATCAATAAAGTACTTAATCTTAGCATGATTTTTTATACATTAGCTGCAGTATTTCTGTGTTGTTTTAGTGAAACTGTGACAAAATAAAAATGATCTAGAAGCAGGAAGCAATATACATGGCCATTTAAATACTCTGAGTAAAAACCACTATATTCCCGATAGTCAGAATTTTTAATTGTTTTATTTAGCTTTAGAGTTGGTAGTAAATGCAGGAGGTAAACATCCAAAGTACAAGAGTATTTGAAAAAGTTGGTGAAGTTTATTTGGTGTAAGCATTTTTGAAATGCATGCATGGTGTTTTATAATATACATTTTCCATGAATTTTTTCAGAACCTTTGTAAAAACAAGCATAGTGGGGCATAAGTCTTTCTTGTCCTGTCAATAACTATTGTTACCACAATCTTAGAAATTCTTTCAGATCTAACCAGTATAGCTCTATTTAGGAAGGTTGTTTGAGATAGCAAGATAAGCATAAGAAAAAGGAAGTATTTTCTTTCTGCCTTTAGATTTGCTCTTTTCTGGATTTAATGGAAAGACAGGAAGATAATCAGCTGAAAGAACAGGGTGGGCATGGAAGCCAAGCTTTCAGACTCTAAGGATGGACTGTGTACACTGTGGACAAGACTGTCACTGTGGGGAGAGGCAAGGACAGGGAGGGATAAAGCCAAGGCAAGTACCCAGGATGAGAGTGACAACAGAGAGAAGACACGATGTGATACAGCGAAGTGGAGGACACATCCAGGAAAGAGCAGGCACAGAGCATGGGTGGCACCCAGGGCTCCCATGGAGCAGGGAAGAAGGTACTGGCAACCCAGGGAGGGTCTCTCTCTTTCCGCTCTGTCCTACCTCATAGCTGCGCCTGTCCTGGGAGGTTAGTTCAAAGCAAGATTCTTTCTTGGAATCTCTTCGCAGGTGCGGCGCCATCCGGACGCTGTAGCCCTTAATGAAGAAGGTCCCTTTGGGCTGTTTGCCTGCAAGAAAGGAAAGTGCTTTGGATCCCTAGAGAGACGCAGGTACCTTCTCTGCGGTGTTGAGATGACAGCCCAGGAACAGCTGTCACCTCCCTGAGGAAGGACAACCATCAAGGAGAGGTGATTAGGGAAGCTGGAGCCGGGGCCGTGGGGACAGTGCTATCATGGCCAAGCTAGGGGAATGCAACGTGAAAGGTTATTTTGCCAAAAGAGTACAACAGAGACAGAGAATTTATTAGAATGTTAAGAGATCTATAATAACAGAGAGAAGGAATGATTACAGCAGGGAGAGTGTGGCCATGGCCGTGAGGCTCTGGGAGGCTATTACGGAGCGGAAGTATTATTAGGGCCAGCAGTGCTCGCAGTTGGGGGTGGGGGAGGAGCAGTGCAGAGGGGCAAGCTGGGGTCCTGAAATCTCCCAGGCCCTAGACAGCATTTGGGTTCAATGCCTCACCCTCTGTCACCTGCTGGTCAGGTGGGGGTTTAATGCAAGAGGAAGAATTAATTAAAACTCTGGGTCTCACCCTTCAGCCCCAAGGTCCTACTGGGACATGGCAAAGTGCTGTTGAGTATAACCAGAGGATGAGGAAGGAGATGACAGAGGAGGGCCCTAAGGGAAGGAAAGGCAAGGGTACTCTGTGGGTTACTCTTTAAAAAAAATCCAATCCCAGGAAAAAAAGAGGTGTGGCTTCCCCAAGGTCTGGTGTGCTCCTGGCATGGCTTAGGCAGGATGAGGGTTGGGGGCGGGGAGGGCAGAGCTGGGGCACCATGTCCTGGGCAAATGCCGCTTAGTGAATTGGCACTTTATGAAGCTGATGACAAGAGGGATGCAAAGGGGACGGGCAATATTTAAAAACAAACACAAAGAGTCTGTCTTTTCCTGGTTGAGTTTGAAGAAATACATAGACTGCCTGCCTGCTAAGAAAATGTCTTGGGTACCATCAGAAGAAAGAGGCGGGAAGGGGGCCCTGCAGGCTGCTTTCTGACACCTGCTGAAGTCTCTTTCCTTGTTCTAACTGGCCACTAAAATGTTTTGTTGTTTCTTAGGTCACTGGATTTTATTTCACCCTGACGGCAAAATGGTCAATAAAAGTCTCTTGCTCTCCGCTCCCTCTCCTCTCTTGCTTTGAGCGGAAAGAATTTTGAATGAACAGGCATTAGATTTCCTAATCTGGTTTTACACCCAGATATGCCAACCCTTTATTTTAAATAAATGATGCAATCTAAATGATGCAAGGGAAACTATGAAATTTCTTTCTTTCTCCTTTTTTTTTTTTTTTTTTTTTTTGTCTAAAGCCATGACCCAATGTAAATTTAAGGTTTAATGTAAGAAAACAATGCTTGGCTGCCTTACAGGGCTAACATTCAGAGAGGGGGAATTGTGGTTGGTGCATTTGAGAGTAGGCTGGGGCTTGGAAGGAAACAGGGATTTGTTGCTCAGTTTTCAAACTCTGCTGCTGTCACTTCCAAGTAAGCTTCCACAGTGTCTTTAAGAAGATATTTATGTATTTGAAAGGCATAATTTTTGGGAGAGATGGAGAGATGGAGAATCTTCCTTTCACTGTTTCATTCCCCAAATGTCTGCAAAGGCCAAAAAAAGCTGGGCCAGACTGAAGGCAGGAGCTTCTTTCAGGTCTTCCGGGCAGGTGCAGGAGCCCAGGCAAGCTCGGACCATCTTCTGCTGCTTTCCCAGGTGCATTAGCACGGAGCTAGGTCAGATCTGGAGCAATCAGGCCTCGAATGCACAGATAGGATTCTGGCATCATAGTCATTGGCTTTACCTGCTGTGCCACAACTAGCCCCAGGGCTCTACGTTTTATCTCTGAAATGGGAATGATTGTCAGGAACCCAAGATGAAAGGAGGACAGGGATCAGCGAAGCTAGCTGTAGGCACAGAGGTGTGGTCAGGCACCTGCTGCAAAGCCCAAGGGTAAACCTTAAGGATTCCAAGGTGCAGTAAAGCTGCAGCTCTTTCTGCTGCCTTAGTACAAATGGGCAGGAAGCCCCAAGGTAACTGGGCAGGTATCTGGTGATGCCTGGACTGGGTTATCTGAGCAAAGAGTAGAAACAGAACATGGTTGGGAGAAACAAGAAAGGTACGCTCTGTACCTACATCACTTGTCTCTGTACACAGGGATGGAGAACAAGCACTGAGGCTTTTGTCACTGCGTGATACTCCTTTTCATTTTTTGCTGGAAAGGCAGATATATAGAGTGAAGGAGAGACAGAGAGAAAGATCTTCCATCTGTTGGTTCACTCCCCAAGAGGCTGTAACTTTCAGTGGTGAGCCAATTCAAAGCCAGGAACCTGTTTCAGAACTCCTGCGCGAGTGCAGGGTCCCAAGGCTTTGTGCCATTCTCAACTGCTTTCCCAGGCCACAAGCAGAGAGCTGGATGGGAAGTGGAGCAGCCAGAATTAGAACCAGTGTCCATATGGGATCCTGGTGCATGCAAGGTGAGGACTTTAGCCAGTACGCTACTGTGCTGGGTCCTCTGTGTGACACTCAGTACCTAAGATGGCTGCTGGGGGAGTTCAATGCTGTAGATGGTTTGATATGGATGCAGGTCTGAGTTCTAACTGCTCTGTTTGTGACCCAGCTCCCTGCTCATGTGCCTGGGAAAGCAGCAGAGGATAGTACAAGTGATTGGGCACTTGCACACACAGGGTAGACCTGAAGCACCTGGCTGCTGGCTGCAGCCTGGCCCAGTCCCAGTCATTGCAGCCATTTGGGGAATGAACTAGTAGATGGAAGATCACTCTCTGTCTCTTCTTCTCTTTTGGTAATTCTGCCTTTTAAATAAAAAACCAACCAACCAACCAACGAGAAAACCAAAAAAGGAAAAAATGCTGAAATGAATGTTCTACTTGGGCAAGGTCATGTTATTAGCCACAAGAAAAGATAACTCTTTGGTATGCTAAACATGCTTCCATAGTGTCTAAAGGTAAAACAATCTCTATGTGGACTCTTGTGTTGGTGGTGGGCCGCGTGTTCTTCACACAAGCCCATTTCTTTGTTGCGCATGTCTCTTAGTGGGTGTTCACAAAGGGCTGCTACATTGAGATCCAAATGTGTGAGAATTTACAAAGTGCTTGTATCCGGGAATGAGAGGTTGCTATGCAACTGACAGACACTTACTTTTCTCATTAGCATAGTAGTAGAAGAGGCCTCTGCTGACGACACACCAGCGTTTCTGCCACTCCGACCCAAAGAAACTATGATCTAAATAGAACAGTGGTAGGAGACATAAATTCAGGTAATTGCAATCGTTGAAGAGTCGGGAAACCCCAACAACACACAGTCCAGCGTGTTAGTATTTCATTTCCTGGGTTAATGGACTGTAATCCTCTCCTTTTTACTCCCACAGGTTAATCTGTGTTGACTCGGAGTCCAGAGAAGTCCTTCCATTAAGGTCTGAGTTCTAACCAGGGTTGCCTGCTCTGTGGCTTCACAGTTGTTTTTTTTTATCCTGACTTCCCTTGGATCTCCATATCCTAATGTCATTCTGTGCTATTCAGAACTCTCTGTAAGATCTTCATGTGTTGTATTTGACAAACCAAAACAATGCTCTTGCTCATGGCTTTGAGAAAAGCTCTGTGTGTGTGTGTGTGTGTGTGTGTATACACTAACTCAATTTGCCTGCTGAGTTTAAAGCTGTGACTCCAATGCTAGCAGCACCTGTTCTAATTTCATGAGAAAGGTCTAGAGTTGTTCTTGTCTGAAACTTGAAAATATTATGTGATATAAAAACTGCCCTCCTGGCTAAAGTCTCACTGCTTATGGGATCACATGGAGAGAAGAGGACAATGATATCAACTGTCTGTTTGTCTTACAAGCTTTATCGAGCACCTGTCAGGTGCCAGACACTGGAGATGAGTGGTGTCCTAGGCAGAACCTATCCTGCTGAAGATTTGAGCCGTCTCTCTCGAGCTGTCACATGGACACCAGACTCCTGGCCTTACCTTGCTTTTGCCTGATACATGCCCAGCCCAGTACTAGGCACTGAGAAGGTATCTGAGACATTAGCCCTCCTGTTGCTGGGTTCCCTCCCTCTCCCCAAATGCTCTGACGTCTGTGGGTCAGCTCCATACCTTTGCTTTTCTTTTCCAAGTAGCCTTGCTTGATGATGTTATCAAGCTCCTGGGCTCCTTTCACGATGTCGTCCATTCCTAAAAGGAACAACAGCAAAATGCTTTGTGCAAACCTGATGTTTCCCTTTATTTAGGCGACTTCAGATAATTCACATTAATGATAGGGTATGCAGGGTCAATTGCTCAATCACAGAGCAAAAATAAGACAATTTCTCTATGATTGGAAAGAAACAGTTAATTTTCTTTCTTCGTAATGATATCTAACACTAAAATCACTTACAATGATCCAAATATACATTAGTTTGTGGCAAGGGGGAGGTAGCCTAACTACGTGCTGATTGGCAGGAAAAAGACTCCAGGGAATTAAGAATTTGCTGTGGATATAAGCTCCAAATTGGAAAACCCACATTGAGATAATCACAAGCCAAATGAATAGCTACCATACAGACCAGCTTTAATGAGTGATAGAATCCACTAGATAGGCAGTCACCTCAGTGGGAGCAATAAACACACACTTATTTTTTTTAAACAAACAGAAAGCCACCTTTGCGAATGTAGATTTTATTAAGTTCGCATGAAGTAGGGGGTTGTCCAAGCTGAATTTGGATCCTGATTCCTTCAACATCTGGAAACAAGTCTGAGAGTGGCAGAAGACTTCATGAAGAGAAGACCCTGGAATTGACGGCGGCCTCGAAGTGTGTGCTGCTAACATTCTTGGCTTTCAGAAAGCCTTGTTGGAAACCAATTTATGGGGAAGTCAAGATTCTAATTCTGCTTCTCCTACTGAGATTTACACTGGTTGGAAAGAAGAGAGGACCAATGGACAGAGAGAATAATCCTACTCTTGAAACATAAAATACATCAGCAAAGACCTCCTCAGGAACACAACTCTATATTACTTAACTAGGAAACACAAAGCATATGTTAGAACCAAACTCAAACATCTCTTTTGATTGCCATTTACAGAGTAAGGCACAAATACATATAAATCAACTGGACCAAGTAAATGGGATCAGGAGGCATTTGGGTGAAAGAATTTTCTTTAACCAAACAAGTCGTTGCTTTTTGAGTGTTTATAATACCTAATAGGCATTCACTGGTTCCAGTGAGTTGGCTCTTCCTTCACTGCTCTACCTATGTTTTACTTAAAAACATTATTTTAGGGACCTGGCATGGTAGCCTAGCGGTGAAGTCCTCGCCTCATATGCACCAGGATCCCATATGGGCGCTGGTTCTAATCCTGGCAGCTCCACTTCCTATCCAGCTTTTTTTTTTTTTTAAGATTTATTTATTTATTTTGGAAAGGCAGATATACAGAAAGGAGGAGAGACAGAGAAGAAAACCTTCTGTCTGATGGTTCACGCCCCAAGTGATCACAACGGCCAGTGCTGTGCCGATCAGAAGCCAGGAGCTCTTCTGGGTCTCCTATGGGTGCAGGGTCCCAAGGCTTTGGGCCATCCTCGAATGCTTTCCCAGGCCACAAGCAGGGAGCTGGATGGGAAGCAGGGCCGCCGGGATTAGACCCGGCACCCGTATAGGATCCTGGTGTGCAAGGCGAGGACTTTAGCTGCTAGGCCACCATGCCAGGCCCTCTCTTGCTTTTGTGTGAGACAGATTCCTTATCCACTAAGTCCTTGCTGTTACCTTCCTTGATCAGGAACTATGTCCACTGATCCAATTAAAACTGGCAAACTATGTGGCGGCCATCAATCCCCCCAGGTAGGTCTCTGGGTGCGTGCATGACATGAACAGCAGTGAAGGGGAAGCCCATTCTTCTAGGATGCTCTCATTTCCTCCTCAGAAGAACCCTGAAAACACTCTCCAAGAAGATAGAACTAGAGGCTGTCGGGGGTAGGAGAAGAGAGAGTGGAGAGTGAGGCAAGGACCAGGTACTGTGGGGAAGCTCCACTGAAGCCACACTGCCTCCTCTCCGAAGCAAATTAAAAAAAGTTGTTCTTGGAGGCTCAAGAATTAGACACAGGAGATAGAACAGGATCCCCTAAACCTACGTTCTCCATCTCTTCTTCCCGTGTTTCCTTTCCATCCCTTCGCTTTGGTAAGGTCTTGGGAAACTTAAGAGACATAGCTTCTTGTTAAAGATTCCGAGAGCCTGCTTTATAAAAGACATGTTACCCATTCTATTAGAATTCAAACCTCCTTTTTTAATGCAAATCTAAATGCCATTTTATGGAACATCTATAATTATGAAAATGGGAAGACTTTGCCTCGTGTGCAGGGAGAGTCTTCGAGTATGAATATTACATTAATGTGCTCACACCAGCTCACTGATCCTGCTGGCAGGGGCATAAAAAATGCTTGAGTGAAACTTTTATTTAGATGTTAAGACTCCAGGCCCCAGCGGGGTGACAGAGACAGCCCCTGTGAGTTGCCATCAGAGAGAGAGCTTGAATTGAATTACCCAGGGGGGAGGAAGTAGTGATGAACACTGCTTCGCTTATTTAATTTCATTTACTTTCAGTGCACTATCAGCATGAGGCACTTTCTCCCCACCAACTGAAACCCAAGAATACTGCTACCACCAAGAAAACAAAGACGGAATGCAGCAGAGACGTCCGCACTCCGACTCGCTGATTCTGGGAGAGGAGAGAGCGCTCCATCACCACCTGCTCTTCCCAAGAGTCAGACTCAGTTTGCTGAAATCAAGCACTGAATAAGTTGCTGTGTTTTCTCACATGGTCATTTGCTCACAAGCTGAATACAAGCATAGCTGGATATTTCTTTCATGTTGTGCTTTTCTAGGTAGTCAATAAGACGCTGCGTGTGGCTTTCTTACTTGTTGGGGGGAATTTTTACTGATGAACTTGCTGTCTGGTATCTCCTTATGGGCAGTGGAAAGTATGGCTCTGGACAAAAAAAAAAAAAAATTAGGAGATCAGACAGAACCAGGCTCTGCTCTACTGATTGGCTTCTAAGTGCCAGGCACAGTGTGGTGAGGACTGGAGGAGTTGTTCTCCATGTAAAGAGTTGAAGCTGAGCTCAATCTCATTAGCTCCGTGGCTTACTCACAAATCCTGACACTAAGATGGGACCTTCTTGTGACATCTAGGCTATTGCTTCTTTCAGGATCAGCTCAGGCTCCATCTGGTCACTAACTGGGGATGCTGAGAACAGACAACATGAGCCTCAGCTTCGAGTGTCAAGCAGCCGGAGTGCTGTGTGGCTGAACCCGCACCTCCTGGTAAAGGAACTGGAGGGACCTCCGGAGAGCAATGGAATCCCTAAAAGTTACGTAAATGCTTTGCAGGATGCTAACACAAATAGGAAAAAGTCACAAACAATTGTGTAAGGATGAAAACATATTTAAGTACACAATTTAAAAAAATGCTTTTGCCCTTACCTGAGAAAAAGACGATCACCAACATAATGGAAAAAAAAAAGAAGGAAGAAAAAATGATAACACTCAGCGCAAACCAGAACCACAACAGTGTCGTCTTCTACAGCCCTACTTCGCTAGATCTGTGACAACAGCCCACTCTGAGAACATATTCGCTTAGCTGAGGAACGTGGGACCAGCAACATAAGATCAACAGAGAAGTGTGCTATCAATCACATGGTAGCCACCCAACTTTTAGGGCAGGTGAAGATTAAAAAAATTCTGACACCTTTCTGTTCTCATCCAGGTTCCTATAAACCCTTGGGTCCCACCCACACTCTGCAGTGAACACTGACAGGGTCAGAGTCCATCTTTCAGTGCCAGGCTTGACTCCACCATCAGCTACGTGCAGCAACAATGGGGCCCCTTTGGAGTGTGATCCATTTCTACAAAGTGGTCAATTAAAAAAAAAAAAAAAGAGACACGGTGCTTATGTGAGTCACGGCCTATTTAACCAGCTGCGTTCTAGCCCACTGAGAAAAGAGAATTGGGGAAATCAGCCAAAAGCTAATAGCGGAGGAGACCATACAATTGGAATGCAAAAAGGCAGTGGCCCCCGTAGAACAAACCAGGTGTCGGTTAACTTTCATTATGTGCAGCTGATGTGGCCTCTTGCCAAGTCTACTAGAAAGATCAATGATTTGTTAAAAAAAAAAAAATCATCACCCAACACTCTCCAACCTCATTCAATGTGTGGATTTCTCCCATCATCTCCCTTCCTTTTCATTCAAGTTCTTAACTGTTTGAGAAAGGGACCTGACCAACTGGAGCCAGAGATGGTGAATTTCAGGCAGACTGACATTTACCACGTTTCTCCATTAAAGCACACACGGAGGGGGAGCACTTGTGATTTGGGTGGAGGAGGTTGGAGAATATGCGATATTTGAAGGTGAGGGGTGATCATGTCCCCTGTCAGTTGCACTCACGCACACATCACCGGTGTGGTGTGTGTGTGTGTACCTGCAGATTTGTGCACACACCCCCTTCATGATGCTTCGAATGACCCAGGGGTGAAGAACGTGTTGCAGGTTGCATGGGATGGGCTAGGCTTCTCTAGTCTGGTGGTTGTTGATCCCAAATCTGTTTGGTAATCACTTTCCTGTCAATTGGGTTTCTTTGGCTTTAAGAAGTTCATTATTGCTTTGCCCTACTTGTTGTTTTCCTTCGTTATGTTTTGGCCTTTTTAAAATCAATGTTCAGTAACATATCACAAGATGGCAGTCAGGTTGTCACGTCTGGTGACAAGAGTTCATCACCCAGAGCTCACAGGGCACTTGGGTTCAGTGACTTGGCCTCTGTCAGTCTCCTGGCACAGGCTCAGGGGCTTTCAACTTCCGTGAATTTATTCGGAATCCATCTACGTTCATATTGCCTCTGTATACCTCCTGTCATTGTGCTTCGCTTATTTTTATTTTTTAGAATTATTGCTAGATACAATTAAAAAAAATTATATACTCGAGAGTCAGAGTCACAGACTGAGAGAGGGAGAGGCAGAGAGCAGTCTATTCACTGGTTCATCCCCCAAACAGCTGTAGTAGCCAGAACTGGGCTGGTTTGAAGCTGAGAGCCAGGAGTTTTTTTCTGGATTTACCACGTAGGTGCAGGGACCCAAGCACTTTGGCTATCTTCTGCTGCTTTCCCAGGCTTTTAGCAGGGAGTTGGATTGGAAGTGGAGCAGCTGGGT